CTCCTCCTCCTCCTCCTCCTCCTCCTTCTCTTCCGCCTCGTCCTCCTCCCTTCTCCCCTCCTCGCTCCTCGCTCCTCCTCCTCCTCCTCCTCCTCCTCCTCCTCCTCCTCCTCCTCCTCCTTCTCCTCCTCCTCCTCCTCCTCGCAGAGGGCACGACGCAGGTACCGCGGCAGAGCCACGGCGAGCCCGCCGCGTCCGAGGCGGCGTTTGCCCCGGTGGCCGCGGCGCCCTCGTCCAGGACGCAAGGCCGCGCGTCCCGACCAGCCATAACACCAGACATGACCGCGTCGTTAAAAACATCAGGACGGCAGGTTTTTGGCCATTGTCGGCCTCGGGGGGCCCTCGCCGGGCCTCGGGAGCGTCAAACAACGATTCAAGACCAAAAACCGGTCCTGGGGAAAGGGTCGGGACTTCCGGGGACGCCGTCCTGAAAAAATCAAGACGTCACATGTCTGGGACTGGGCAAACTGTGGTCCTTACCCCCCTGGGGAAACCCATCGCATCGACGACCTCTCGAGAGGGGTGCCGAAATCGATGGGTCCCCCGGGGGGTAAGGACCACAGCTCCCCCAGTTGTGGCTGGCCGCGCGTCGGAACAGGCGGCGCGGCGACAAATATCAGTGACACGCCGCGGTGGGGGACCCATCAGCGTGCCACTGCTAACTGCTGCTGCGGGAGATGCGACAGGCCTCCAGACCAAAACGATGGACTCGACATGCTGACGGGCTTCCAACGGCAGCGTGTCATTTATACACGTCGGTCGGGAGAAGTAGGTAAAACCATGAGGTCGGAAGGCAGAACAATCAGGTTGAGTTCAGGCCCTCCCAAAGAAGAACAAGACATCGCAAAAGTAGATCGGTTCTTGAAGGAGGAATTTCGCCTGAACTAGATTTGGATCTGGGGAACCCAAAATACCTTCTTTCAACGGCCGACGTGTACTCCTGCTTCCTCACGAGTCCTGCGCCCAGAACGCCACGGAGGCCGCGAGGTGCGTCAGCGTCCGGCAGTAGTGCCACCAGCCGTGTGGGACGCACCAGGGGCTGCCAGGCGATACCATCAGGTTGTGGGCGGTGAGTACGTCGCCGTGGCGATTATCCCCACAACCTGTGTTAACGCCAACATGTGTTCATCCACCGAGGCCCTTCTATACGAAGCAGGCGATGTAATGATCTGCGGGTATGGCTGAGAGGGGTAACACACACATTTGGGCTGACACACGTCCTGAGGATCATCGATCGTTTCTCGGCGGTGGTCTTGCCAGTCGGTGCGATCGGGTTGTCGGCGGTGTGTACGCCAAGCTCGTGTCGTGCCGACTTCGGCGTTGGTTTTTGACACCGCGGGGATCGCTCAACCTTGAACGACCGGCCATTTCCGAAACGTCCAAATCCTTCCACATCGAACGACTCTGGGTCGCCCGCGGCGTTCAAGGTTGAACGCCGCTGGCGGGGTCGCCGCCGGTCGACACGACACGAGCCTGCCGTACGCCGTCGTGTCTCGGCGGTTGTCCAGCCTCGGGATACTTTCCAGCAGCTGCGCCTCGCCAAGGAGGAGGAGGAGGAGGAGGAGGAGGAGGAGGAGGAGGAGGGGGAGGAGGGGGAGGAGGAGGAGGAGGGAGGAGGAGGAGGAGGAGGAGGAGGAGGAGGAGGAGGAGGAGGAGGAGGGGGGGGGCTGGGGGGCTGGGGGGGCCCGGATCGCCGCCCACGGCCGCCGGAGCCCCTCGAGGTCCGCCCCGAGAAGCGGGCGACGAGGCGCACTCGGGTCGGACGAGCAGGCGCTCGAGGATGCGACGCGCGGCTTCGCAGGGTGCGTGCCCGAGGATGGCTGGAAAGATCGAGCAAGAAGAGAAGCGACCCTCGTCGCCAAGTCGGCGTGCCTCCAGGCTGCCGCCAGCCCGCGGGACGAGAAGGTGGATCGGGGAGGGACCGCACCCCCTGTGGCAGACCGTGGCTTAGGGAATGCGGCCTCGGGCCCACGCCAGGCGGGCGCAGGCCTGGAACACTGATCGACGTGTCAGGGAGGGGGTTCGGTGGAGGGACAGCACCCCATGTAGCAAGACGTGGCTTAGGGAGAGCGACCTCGGACCCACACCTGGCGGGCGCAAGCCTGGACCACTGATCGACGCGTCGGGGTGGGGGTTCGGTCCATCCCCCGAGGGGAGAGGGAACAACAAGGGTTTCGACACCTGCTTGCTGCAGCAGCTTGCGACCCCGCCACCTGGCGCCTTTCCTCGATGCGTGGGCGCCTCCATGCACCAGGCGCACCAGATGCGTGAGCTGATTCGCTACCCCCCCATGGCTACGGTAGAGGGAAGCAACTACTGAACTCTCCCCCGCCCCCCCAAACTCAAAGCTGGCACGCGCGGGGGAGACTGCGGTCGAGGTGCAACTCATCAGACCCACCGCCAACTTTGAACATTGGTGGGGAGGGGGGGGGCGTTGACAGATGAGTGTGGCATGAGTGATCGCTATTTTTTCCCGAGGCCTGTAGCTGGGGGAACTGTGGCCCGTACCTCGCCAGGAAGAGGCATCGGCTCCGACACTCCTCCTGGTTCTCGAGAGATCGCCGATGCGGTTGAGGAGTCCCCCCGGGAAGTGGGGAGCACAGCTCCCCCACTTGTGGCTGGTCGGGGCAGAGGGGGGACGAATACCAGCAGCACCTCCTGCCCACCTTGAGCACGGCTCGCTGTCGGTGCCGCCGCGGGCGCTGCCCATTTGGGCAGCAGTCGCCTGCCCAACAGTGGCCGCCGTCGGTTTTGGACAAAATGTTCCGTTTGGGTATCGTTCACATTCTTCGCGACCCCATTTCGTGCGCGCCAGGCCGATGGTGATCCTGGCCCACGGTGGGCCGAGCTCTTCGCGCCACTGTGGAAATAAAACGACAACACAAACACTCAAATCTATAGGGGGAAGGGCGGGGGAAAAGCAAGGCGGTGAAGGCGCGCTATGGGTGTGGGTGCGAATTGTCGGAGCCCGGGAGGGCTCCCGTTCGAGCGGACAACCCCGTCCGACATTCCGCACCTGCATCCGAGGCGGAATTCAGGCCCCGAGGGTTACAGTTAGGCCTGGATAGCATGAAACAGGTTACAGGGTTATGCTAGAACGCTCATGATCTGGAGCCCATGATCGCCTGGGCCTCGCGAGGGGGTACTGAAAAAGACGCCTGGTCCTCGCTTTGAAGTAGTAGGAACCGAGCTCTATACACCGGCGCTTTTTCCGGCCCCGCACTGACGCTCGCACAGGAAAACAGATCCTGGTGAATACGGGGTCCTGGTGTGTACGTGTTTCGTTGTTTCCCCGGGAGCGCGGGAAAATAGTGTACACCACACCACCCCGACGTCGTCCCCGACCCTCAAGAAGTCCCGGCATTGAAAGACAACCCGCCACTGGTGACGTGTATGCTCCAGATTCCGGTGCAGAGCT